GTGTGTGTGTGTGTGTGTGTGTGTGTGTGTGTGTGTGTGTGTGTGTGTGTTGGGCGAAGGAGCCTGAAGTCACTACCTCCTGTAGCCAGGTGGGACTTCCAGTGGAGGGTGGGGATGCCAACCCACCCATAAAACCTTCCACCCAAAATCTGTCTCGCCTACAAGAAGAATAGGGATAAAGAGGAGCAGAGATTGAGAGAATGGTTAACCAATGACTGTCCCAATTCGAGACACACCCCATGGGACCCCCGACACTATTAATGATACTCGGCCATGCTTGCAGACAGGACCTTAGCATAACAGTCTTCTGAGAGGCTTCATCCAGCAGCTGATGGAAACAGATGCAGAGACCCACACCAAACAATAGGTGGAGCTCAGGGAGTTTTGTGGAAGAGTTGGGGGAAGGATGAGGGAGCTGGAGGGGTCAAGGATACCACAAGACCTACAGAATAAACTAACCTGGGCCCATGGGAACTTATAGAGACTGAACCAATAACCAAAGAGCCTTCATGGGCTGGACCTAGGTCCCCTATACAGATGTAACAGCTGTGCAGCCTGGTCAATATGTGGGTCCCCTAACAATGGGAATAGGTGCTGTCTCTGACTCTGTTTCCTGCCTTTGGATCCCTTACCCCTACCTGAGTTTCCTGTCTGGTCTCAGTGGAGAGATGATGTGCTTAGTCCTGCTGACTTGAGGTGCCAGAGTGGGCTGGTACCCCTTGGGAGCCTCCCCTTCTTTGAGAAGGAGAGGTGGGAATGGGGGAGGAATGTGTGAGGGTGGAACTGGGAGGACAGGAGGGAGGGGGCTGGGATCAGGCTAAAAGTGATTAAATAAAAATCACATTTATTCATTTATTGTGTGTATGTCGCTCTGTGTGTGTGTCTGTGTGTGTGTGTGGTTACCTGCACATTCCTACAACAGAGCCCACGTGGGGCTCAGAGGATGGCTGTGGGAGATTATGCATGGCACTCTCTTTCTGCTGTTTGGGTCCTGGAGATGGAGCCCAGCTGGGTCATCTCACTGACCTGCCCTTGAACTTCTGACCCTCCTGTCACCACCTGCCAAGTTCAGGGATGCCAGGTGTGCACCTCCACACTTGGTTCATGCAGCACCGGGGACCCAACAGCGACTTGTGCAAGCGAGGTAGCTCTCCCAGCTTGGCTACCTCCAGCTCCAGACTGCTCACCACGAGCATTGGGCTCATCTGTGACACTGCGAGAAAATGGAACCAAATGGATTTTGGCTTTGAATTCTTTCTGACAGCTTTGAGTCCATTAAAAATACAGTAAATGTCAGTGAGAATTTGCCACAGTATATTGTTTTGCCAAAAGGAAAATTTGTTAAATCAGTATAAACAGTGTAAAATTCTCTACAAAATCATTTCCAAGATTTATTTTCCTTAAAGCAGAACCGGACTGATTTGCTTACTGTGGGGGAGGGGTGTGCACACCTCCCGAGGCACACAGGTGGGTGTCAGCTGACAGCTTGCAGGAGTTGGCTTTTCCCTCCATGATGTAGTTCCCAGGTATTAGTCCCAAGACATCAGGCTTAGTGGTAAGCGACTATACCCATTAAGCCATCTTGCCAGCCCTCAGTGATGTATTTTCCACTCACTGTCATGCCTCATGACATGAAATGTTTTAGGAGAAATCATGTACACAAAGCACACATACAAACAGAGATGTGACATACACATCTATTCTGTCCCCTATGGCTAAGCCACCCTGAAAGGGCCTGATATTGTATATATTATATACAATATACTATATTACAGTATATACTATATACTGTATATACTATATATATATACACATAACAACAGTATATACTATACTGTTGTTTTCTTTCTTATTTCACAACTTGCTGGGAAGTTTAATTAGGGGAAGTCAATGTAATTCTCTATTTTTATTATAAATCACCTAACTATTGCCACAACATCAAACAGAGGCCATTGTGTTAACAGCGGGTACTTTTTGTCTTGAGCAAATGGTGGCACATCAAGGTATTATTCTATTATTTTTGAGGCAGGGTCTGGCTCAGGATGGCTTTCAACACCTTATGTAGCCCAGCTGATGTCAAACACATGGTCTTCCTGCTTCTACCTCTAGAGCGCTGGGGTTCCAGTTCTAAATTAGAGAGAAAATGGACTGGAAAGAAGAAAACTGGGACTTGTTTGCAAGCATGGCATAATACTTGACATCATATCTTATTTCATTTTATTCACAGAACAAGTCTACAAGACCTATTTCTATCTGTGTTTTACAGGCTGGGTCAGCAAAATTAGCTAATTTTGCCAGGACCCTAAACCTAACAAGGGTTAAAAATGGGATACTTTCTCACCTAGGCAATGAAGGGAAAAGGAAACAAACTACCGGGATTAAAAAGATATGCTCACACATTATTTGTTGCAAGGCCAAGAGAGGGAGGAGAGAGAAAACTTGGCTAGCTGTGTGCTAACCCCTGAGAAAGTCTCATCATACATTGCTGCCCACTTGGGTCGGTTTGAACATTTTCAAAATTGAAGGTAAAACAAAGGAGCCAGATGATAGACATTGACAACATGGCTGCCATTATATACAAATAATCTCTTGTATATTGAAAAGATGATAGAATTTTAGAAAAAAGTTAGAAAGAGCAAGTTTTCGCTTTTGTGAGACAGGGTATCTTGGAACTTGCTCTGTAGACCAGGCTGGCCTCAAACCCACAGCGCTCTGCCTGCCTCTGCCTCCTGAGTTCTGGGATTAAAGGTGTGGGCCACCACACTTGGCTAAGAATAAACCCTTGACTCCTACAGACAGGAGACAGTAGGCAGTGGGAAACAGCCTTCTACTTTGGTTGCTACCTTGCTGCATGTTTCAAAGGCTTCAGTTGCTCTTCGGGTCGTTTCTGTTAACTCCAGAATTTTATATTTGGGGATATCGGATATGCTACTCATGTTATTTTTACCCTATTTGTGAGTTTTTCTAACATTATCAAGAACTACAAGCCGGTGAATCTCACAGATGGAGGAACGAATATTTTACTACAAAGTAATGCTTTACTCAACTTGAAAGGTTAACTTTAATTAAGACAGTGATAAAAGCTCTCACAGAAAGAGTGACAAATCTGTAAAATTACCTCCGCTGCTGCGGGCCATTGTTAGAGCTTCCAGAGAAGTTGCTGGGCTTATTTCTAGTTGGCAGATCATCACTTTGGCTCGGCTAATGACACTGGCTGCCTTCGTCAAGTCTTCAGAATTCAAAAGCAGATTTGCTCCAGCTACTATGACGATGATATTCTGGCCTATAAAGAAATTCTACATATTTATACTAAACCAAGCAAAGCCAAGCAGTGATATGCTGCATGTGAGCCATCCTCTGAAGGCTTTATACAGACTGTTAGAAGAATTTATCTTAGCATTTCCAGGACATTCAGTTTAGTTATTGTCTTCCAACTGTATTCTTTTGGGCAACATTTCTGTGAGATTCATAATATTCTGATTGTTTTTCTTTTTAAAGGAGAATAGACTCTTGCTATATTTTCCAGGCTGGCTCTGAGCATCTTCTCAAGAGCTCCTCCTGCCTCAACTTCCTGAGTAGGTGGAACTATGGGTACATATCACTATACCTGACTTACTATGAGCACGTAATCATTTTACATTTATTTATTTTGTGCATAAGTGTGTGTATGCATGTGGGTGCATGTATACCATGGGCGCACATGTGGAAGTCATAGGACTCAATTTTTTCTTCCTACCATGTGGGTTTCAGAAACAGAACTCTTGTCTCCAGGGTTCTGCCTGCTGAGTCATCTCTCCAGCCCAATTATTATGATCACATTGAATAACATTTTAGGCATATTTTCTGAATTATTATTCTTATAAACAGAGAATAAACAGTTGAGAAATGATATACAACCTGTCTTTACAGTTTTTTTTCTGTGTGAGATGGTTAACACATTCATTTGGTAAAGACCGTGAATTCTAAATGATGGGTACCATAGAGATGAGTTCAGGGAGGAATTAAACCATGCAAAATGCTCAAAGCAAATGCTCCACTGTACATGAGCAGTTCATGTGTGTGCCATGTTCTTCCCCACGGTGATACTGACAGTTTTTACTACCTAAAAGATAGAAAATATATGATATAGATGATCTTTTACTTTATTTGGCTGGTACTGTACAGATCAAACAAAGAAACACCACCAAGGATTTGATACACTCTCATGACCTGAGCCCACTCCTTATAGTCCTTGGACATACTCACACAGGAGCAGGTGGTGATGCACCTTATCTGGAAGATGAACTCTCTGTGTGTGTGTGTGTGTGTGTGCTCGAGTGTGTGCAGAGGGCAGCAAAGCTTAGATATTGTTCTTCATGTACTAACTGCCTTAAAAAAATCTTTCTTTTGAGGCAGGATCTTTTAACTGGCCTGGGATGAGTCAAGTAGGCCAAGGTAGTAAGCCAGGAAGCCCAGGGATCTGCCTGTTTCCACCACCTTGGATTTGGGATTGCAAGCATTTGCTCTCATACATTGCTTTCCCTCCCTCTCTCCCTCCCTTCCTTCCTTCCCTTCTTCCTTCCTTCCTTCTTTCTTCTCGCCCTTCTTTTATGTAGGTTCTGGGATGGAACATAGTTCTCCCAAAGTACTGTGGTGACTGAACTATGTCTGTAGCCCCCATGAAATGAACTCTTGAGAGGCGTGCTGTCCGGCATTAGAGTCACAATAGTACATATGGCATGACATTTGAACTATAGCTAGTCTGAATTGAGATGCACTTTAACTAGACATATATATTGGGTTTTAAACTTAATAAAAAGGAGTAACATCTCACTATTTTTATGAAAGGCTTTACTTATTTTTATTTTTTGTGCATTGTTGTACTGCCTGCATGCATGTCTGTGTGAGGGTGCAGATCCCCTGGAACTGGAGTTACAGACAGTTGTGAGCTGCCATGTGGGTTCTGGGAATCGAACCTGGGTCCTCTGGAAGAGCAGTCAGTGCTAACTCCCCAGCCCCTATTTCACTATTTTTAAACATACATTTATTTATTAATTTACTTTCTCTCTATTTATTTATGTGTTGTATATGTTGGGGTGTGTGTCTGCTACAGCTCACACGTGGAGGTCAGAACAACTTATGGGGATTGGCTCTCTCCTTCTGCCATGTGGGTCTCAGGAACCAGCTCATGTTGGCAGCCTTGGCAGCAGGAATCTTAAGGCAGCTGAGCTGTCTCTCTGGCCTCACTAATTTAAAAAAAACATATTGAAAAGTTTTAATTTTAAAATAAATTTAACTACATGTTGAAACGACAATATTTTGGATATACTAGGATAATACACATTGTCATAATTAAATTTACCTATTTCCCCTTTCCTTTTAAGAACATGGTTCCTGGACAATTTAAAAACTGCATGTGGCTTGCATTTTCTTTCTATTGGATAGCTCAGCTCTGAAGGAATGAGTCGCAGCAGGCACTTTTTAGTGCTTCAGGCTGCTTATGCAGATCTTGTATAGACATGACCTCAAATTACCTCTCCACACAGAACAAATCCTAGCCTATCATCTTACCACATGTGTGTTTGTTGGCCATGGGGAAAACTTAATAAAGTGGGGACAGTTCCATACAAACCCAACCTCAGTCCTGGAAAAATGCAAAGAGCCCACTTGTTGAAAGACTTCATCTCTCCTTCTTCTTCCCTAGCAGTGAGCTCATTCTCTCTGTTGGAGTCAACTGTAGCATGACATAATGTGCGTTTCTGGACAGGCTTTCGTGGCTGAACAACAAGCCTAAGACCACAGCTGTCCACGAACAAAGTAGCCACGGACATGTGGCTAGCTCAGTCATGCCTTCAATCTAAGTTGCCAAAATAACACTCACCACTTTGTCTGGCACTCCTGCCCCAGCATTTGAAGGAGCCGATTGTTCCATTTCTCTGTATTTATTATTATTTTTAGACAGTCTCACTCTATAGCCTAGACTGGCCTGGAGCTCCTTGTAATCCTCCTGTTTGAGTCTCTTGAGTGCTGAAATCACAGATCTGTGTTGCCATGTTGCTGTAAAATCTATACTCCAAGATGTTACTGTACTATAAACCAGGCAAGGCTTACCATAACAGACATTCAATATATAATATTAATGTTTTGCATTGAAAATGAAGATTTTGGTTCACAGGAAAGGAAGAAGGAAAAACTCAAGTCATTCCTAGAACACAACATGAAGTTTAAGATCAGAAATGACCTTCTTTTGGCAGTTATCATTTTTGATGTAATAAATTCTACATTATATTATTACATCATCAATAGTGATATATAGTTAATAATAATATGATTAATAATGGTATATGATTAATAGTAATAGGTTTTCATTTTATGGTCAGAATGAAAACTTAACCTACTGTCTTTACTACTGTAACTTCAGAATTGCTGGGGTTGGGTTTAAAATGCTGCATCGTCTGTTTAACATGAGCATACAGAAGAACACTGTGAGGGGCTTGAGATGTGGCTCAGGTTGCAGAGTGCTTGCCCAGCATGCACGAACCCCAGGCTTAGTCCTGAACACTGCATAAACTGGGCATGATGAAGCACACCTCTGATGCCAGCACCTGAAAGATGTAGGCAAGACTACCAGAAGTTTGAGGCCATTCTGGAATACATGAGTCTTTGGCTGCAAAACAGACAGACAGACAAACAGATATACCCCAAAAGAAACAAACTGCAAGCCTGAAATCCCAGCATTCAGAAGGCTGGACAGGACTATTACTGAGTTCAAAGCTAGCACAGGCTACAAATAACTCCCCTCATGAAAATGTTTATATGTAGTCAGTATATTAAGTAGAAAATCATTAAATATTATGTGGAAATACTGAATGAACAATTCTTGAAGTGAAAAAATTAACATGTTTCAAATTGCATGCCTTTCTGGGTAGCATGATAAAATTTCATGCCATCTGATTCTGTCTCACCTGGGATGTGAGTCATCTCTTTGTCAACAAATCATGTACAATGTCTGTGTATCCACTAGCTACAGGTCGTCACTTAGATAGCCATCTTGATTGTCTGACAGACTGCTTAGATATTGTAATTCCTGAGTTCATTTAACCTACACACGGTAGCCTAACGGTATGGTAGAATGCCTCCGTCACTCACCTCACTTGATCGCATCATGTAGGTGCCTTGTCATCTCACATCATCACAAGAAAGTTGAGCACAGCACAACAGATCTTTTGAGATGGATTACACTGACATAGTACTTCCTACACTGTATTGTTATAATCATTCTTTTTTATTATTACTCTTATAAATTTCTTTTTTTTCTTTTTTCCTTTTTTTTTTTTTTTTTTTTTTTTTTTTTTTTTTTTTTTTTTTTTTTTGAGACAGGGTTTCTCTGTGTAACCTTGGCTGTCCTAGACTCACTTTGTAGATCAGGCTGGCCTCAAATTCACAGCAATCCACCTGCCTCTGACTCCCAGAGTGCTGGAATTACCAGAGTGTGCCATTGCTCCCGGCTTCTTATAAATTTCTTACAGTTTCTAATTTGTAAACTAAACTTTATCATAGGGGTATATATATATATGAAGAATATATATATATATATATACATATGAAGAAAAAAAACATTGTATAGCAACATCAGGACTACTGGCAGTCTTAAAATGTATTCCTTTACACAAGGAGGACCACTGTATACATCAAAGACATATTGCTACAGATCCCAGCACAGCCCACAAATGCACTAGATTCTATCCTGCATAGTCAAGAGATGACTGGTCTTTCTGATTACTGACTTTAATTTATAATAAAAAAAAATGTAGATTTTTCACACTTTGAACAGTTGGCAGATTCTGAACTCTCAACTTGAAAGTAGGGTGTCCTGGCACTCTCTGTGTAGACCAGGCTGGCCTTGAACTCACCTTTACCACACCCAGCTGCAGTTACTGTTTGTAAAGGTAATTATTTTAACTATGGTAAAGCCTCGTGGTAGAACTGGGTACATTGACTTTTGAGGTTTGATTGCTGCTTAAAGAGCAGACAAAACTGAGCACTAATGATGAGTTAGAAGTAATTACTTGCTGCCATTTGCTCAGTAAATAATCTATAAATACACGTCAACAAACTTTGTTTTGCGCCCACTTACATTTATTTACTTAGCGGAAGGATAATGCAAATGACAGTGAGTACTTGACTGTTTGGAGAAGTATGTGTCAGTTCTGACCTCTGGTGAAGGTTAAAGGGAGCACAACAGGATATAGATCATATCTGGAAGCATCAACCATGCTTCATATATACTAGATGGAGCGTGTTACAGATGATCAAGGAGAGGCCTATAACTTAAGGGAAAGGTTTTCATTGGATTGGAAATGCCATGCCTCAGGTCTTGGAGCAGTGGGTGTGGTAAGAGGCCAGTGGGACTGGGGTGGAATTGTTGCTTCCAGTCTAGTTCTGGAATGAACCATCCATCTGAGGTAGTGACCCTCATATTCGAAGCACATACCTTCATTATTGACAATTATAGAGGCAGTTCCTGTAGCAGCATCTCTGGTCTGATATGTAAATTCTACAAGAAAACGAAAACCACAATCACGTTAATACAGCCTGGCATGGATAATTTATTTTAACAATTTCAATGTGACACTAATTCTTGGAAAAACTTTTTAACCTTTAACCATCTGGAATGAGTTTTAAAAAAATAAGTAATTAGTGCTAATTTATACCCATCACCTATACAACGAGGAAAATGGGCATCGTTACATTTAGTGGCACCTTCTCTTTGCATTAACAACCCATTAAACGACCCACACTTTTTACTCCTTAAAATTGTTCATAGTTGTATACATATGCGTTTTTTAGAATAACATATTTCTTTTCTTCACTGTAAAAAAACATGACAGACTTGAGATAAAAAAACAAAAGGTTAAACGTATAAAATGAGCTTGTTTGAATTTCTTCATTTTCGTAAGCTTTGTGTTTCGTCCAGAGCTGTGGTCTGGCATGGAAACAGATGTTGATCAGGAAGCCTCTGATGGCAGCAAAGAGCTGTGGGCTGGAGAAGGACAACCTGACTCCACTCTGGCCCCAGCTCCGGCCTGCTGTGTGCTCTTGGGAAATACCCAGAACCTTGATGGTCTTTGGTTTTCTCTTCTGCGATTATACTTCATCCTGACAGCTCCTAAGATGGCCTTCAGCTATATCATTCAGTGATTTTTCTTGAAACATCCTTTATGAATATAGCACCTGTTTTTCTTTGTCACCCGCCTCTTAGCCATTAAATGAAGATTTGTAACGGCCTTTGATTTCAATCCTATCTGGAATGAAATATTAAAATGAAAATATTAAACAAAGTGGTGTGTAAAGCTTCTCTGGCCACCAGGGGAGGATCTACTAATTATATTTAGCTTTCAGTTTTTCTGATAATAGGACCACAGAAGAAAAAATAAGCCAGGTGTGGTGGCACATGCCTGTAATCTTAGCACTTAGGAGATTGAGGCAGGAGGATTGCCTTGAGTTTGAGGCCAGTATAGGCTACATAGTAAATACCAGGTCAGCCAAGATTATATAGTGAGACCCTTTCTTAAAAAAACTAAAAACAAAATAAAAACCCTAAAGAAAGTTATAAACATTAACTTTAAAAAGATGAGGTTTTTACCTGTAGAAATATGATTTTGTCTTAAGTTTTCTATGTAATCATTGCCAAAAGAATCTTTGCCAACCTGTACCAAAGAAACGATGAGCATTAGACCTTTTACATTTAGTAAAATACTACAATGTAGCTTTTAGAATATTTAGCATTTTCAAAGGGCGTATCTGCACAGTACTTCATAAGACTAATTAATCTTCTTACTGTAAGATGCTAGACTAGATTTCACAGTGGTTATGCTCTGTAACCCTATTTTACTTATATCCCACCTAAAACATGAAGCACACATGTCTATGTGTCCCCTGCAGCCTGGTGCCCGAGGGGATCAGAAGACAGCTTCAGGTCTCTCAGAATGGGTTACAAACAGTTGTCAGCTGCCTTGAGGGTGTTGGGAGTTGAACTTGGGTCCTCTGAGAGAGCAGCCAGTGTTCCTACTGCTGAGCCCTATCTCCAGCCCAGCATCAGTTTCTTGAAGGCAGAGCTGCCCCAGAGCTGCACACACTCCACAGGCAATGCTTTGCTGTTTTAAATCTGTCTTTATAATTCTTCACCTTCAAACCTTGTACGCATTCACATTCATTTACATTTCTGGACTTCAGTTTTACAAAGCTTATGGTTTCATGCTAATGTGGATGGGGAAAAGCCCGCAGGGCCTCAACCCTACACAAAGAACTATAGGCAACTATTCAGAATGGGAGAAATAGGTGCTGGAGAGATGGCTCAGTGGTGAGGAGCACTGTCTGCTCTTCCAGAGGTTCTGAGTTCAATTCCCAGCAACCACATGGTGGCTCACAACCACCTATAATGGGATCTGATGCTCTCTTCTGTCATGCAGGGATACATGCATGTATAAATAAATAAATCTTAAAAAAAAAAGACTGGGAGAAATAGTCTTCACCCGGGAAGAGCACACCAATCCGGAAGAGCACACCAATTGGTTATTCAATACCAAGTGTTCAGCCCTGAAAACATACATACACAAACAGTATAAAGGCTGAGCAGGATGTATTTATGAATTTGTATGTATATATATATACATACATATATATGTACACACATGTGAAAACAATACATACATATACATACATACACACATATATGTTAAAACAATACATACATACACACATATATATGTGAAAACATATATGTGAAAATAATGAAAAAAGTGGTCATGAACTTGAAAGAGAGCAAGGAGGGGGTTTATGGGAAGGTTCAGCGAGAGGAAAAGAAATATAATTATAATCTCAACAAATTAAAGAAGTAGTTAAAATAAGCTTGGGATCTGTGATGGTGGAGCATGCTGCGTGCTCAGCAGGTGGAAGCAGGAGGAAGGCAAATTCAAGGGCAACTACTGACACGTGACTCTCCCTTCTCCTCCCCCTCCAGCGTTAGAAGCTTACACTCCCTAATCCTTTTGTTTCTCACTCAAACTGAAGTTATCAGAAATTGTTAAGAAGTCACAGTAGAACCTTTGAGACAGATTTTGATTATTTCCTGCCACTGAGCACATTGAATAATACAAATGAGACCCTCACAAAGGAACCAGCCAGAAAGTAGTAATGGGCCTACTAGAGACTATTACAAAGGAATATCAGCAGGCTTCTGTTTCCCAGGCACACTTTGGCCATCGAATTGACAAGAGAAATTTAAATGTAAGCATCTTGGCCAGGAGGCAAATGGTGCATATGGGAGTCAGGGAACTTGGAGTCTCATTTCAGTTCTGCCATTATCAAGCTAATTAAAATTCTTTGCATTTTGCCTCAAATTGTTCCATCTGAGCCAGGCTGGAGGGTGGAACTGGTGTGAGTTCTCTCTGGCAGACAGGAAACCAATGGGTCTCAACACTGGCTGCATGTTAACATGTCCTGAAGACATCAGACATCCCGATGCTCTGGCCCAGGTTAACTAACTAGTGGTTAAACCACACTCTGCAGGTGGAAGTGGAGGTTACTCCAAGTGCGAGACCGCTGGCTTTAGGGATTAAAGGGCTGGGTGTGTATTGTAAAGCCTTGCGTGTCGATGAGATGGAAATGAGAGCTGCTGATGAGAGCACAGCCCCGGGCATGCTCTGTAGGTGGATCAGCTAAGTGGAGGTGGAGCGGCATGGTCTGCAGAATCTGTTAGGCCCACCAGGCTGGACCCAACACTGGGATGAAGATACGGTAGAGCGTCAGGTTTCCTAGGCTCATGTTTGCTGAACCCTGCTCAGAAGCGCTGCAGGTTTGTTCCCCCTTGTTATCTTTTTTTTTTTTCTTTTCTAGCTTTCTAAAATTCATATATGGCCAAAATAATTAGATTTCATTTTCGGAGTTGTGAGTGGAAAGTCATTATTAACTTGACCTCATCACTTGGCTGTGTTAGGATCCAATGTGCATATAATATGTTCATGTTTATTTCCTTGCCTTCACTTCTGAGAACTCTGGATTCCATTCTTCTCTCTTCCACCTACTCAAACTGGACCTGTTTTTCCAGCACCAACTTACATCCACCTTCCTTCTTTTGGCTCTCATTGATCCTCTCATTTCCAGAACTCCTACATAGCATTCCTGATCACTACCATAATTCAGTGCCATCTACAGTTTGTCGCTCCATATTTGTCTACTGGGGCTTCCTAAAGCTTGCTGATGCTAGCTTGAAATATATTGGCCCTTTCCAAAGCCCTACACACGAAGATGTCCCATTAGTAGGGCATCACCTCGGTGACTTTACAGTTTATTTTCTTGGGCCTATGAGCACTGGAGTTACAGTGTGGCTGCAGACACGGCTTTGCTTACGACCGAGAGACTATTCCTGAGATTGCACATAGTCTGAGGCAGTCTATCTGCGTGAGTCTGTTGCAGCTCAAAGGGGGTGGGTCAAGGGCAACTTCGACAAGGATTTAAGGGAGGGTGATTCACAGGACTTACTGACCTTGAATAGAAAGGGTCTTCCGGGCTTGAAGCTACTCTTCACACACTGCTATTCAGCTTTCTTACAGGAAGCTCCCACTTACTGCTTTCCCTCTTTACACACAGTATGGATTAACAATTTGTAATATACAAAACCAATGCAGTAAAAGTAAAAAGAGTACCCTAAGAAACACAGCCTCATTTGCTATTGCTGTTAACTCCAGTGGCTGTAAACATCTAATATCACATTGCTATCCATCATTCTGTTTACTTCTGGTTTCTGTGCTGTCTAGATCAGGGCAGACTGAGCATAGCACTGGCCTGAGCAGGCTTTTGAGTTGCACTCTCCTAACCTACTGCGCCCTTCGTCACTGGCCTTCCTGCCTGACCTTTCTAAAGGGAACTGGGGCTACTTGCATTAGAGGTGAGACGGCTTTACATTTGTAGGAAGCAAAACCGTCTTATTCTTTGGATCACTCTAGTGCTGTTTCCTGGTGTGGTCACAGAGGTCCGTGTCTGCCTGTGGTTTCTGTTTATCTGCACAGAAAGCAGCTGTGGGTTCACACTGGGCCCCTGTATCTTGAGCTCTTTCTTTAACATCGTTCTTGTTGCTAGGGCTTGATGTTTCCTCTTCCTTTGTGTGCACTTATGTGTTTGTGTGTACATGGCGATCACACATGTATGTGCGTGCATGCAGGTGAAGGCCAGAGGTCAACTTCAGGTGTTGTTCCTTTGGGACACTATGCATGTTTTTTGAGACAGGATCTCTTGCTGGCCTGGAACTCTCCAATTTGGATAGGCTGGCTGGTGAACCCCATGGCTCCTCCTGCTTTGGTCTCTCCAGTGCTGGGATTACCCATCTACATAAGATGGTCTTAAACAAACAAAACATGGGCTCTATGTATTGAGATCCTAATGGGTACCACACTGCACCATCTCTCCAGTCCTCCTGTTTTTAACACAGCACACAGTATGCAGGCCAGGAAGGGGAGCTTCACACTTGCAGTGGTTCTTCTGTCCTGACCTCCAGAGTGCTGGATTACAGGCATTCACCAAAGTTTTAGAAAAAGCCTCTTCTTAAACGTCTGGCTTCAGTGGAATACAAGTGGAGGAAACACTTAACGCACATCAGGCAAAGTCTGTGAGAGAGGCCCCAGCAGGCTCTCTGCCTTGGGATGAAGACTTTCACTTTCAAAAATAGCATCTCCAATTGTCGCTGGACGTTAGCCTTGGCACATGACTCAGCTGCATACCAAATACATGATTCTTAACTGCGTCGAGTGCTTCATTATCTGTATGTCACTATATAAATACTGATCTAACTCTTGCTTAATGCTTTTATCACCACTATCTTAACAAATAACTCCATGGTTTTGCCACCAGTCTTCCCCATCAGAGCCTGACATCCGGTGTGCTGTTGTACAGCGGTCCATACATTAACACTGCTTAGGGAATGATGGGGGATTCTTTACCAGTTTTTTTTTTTTCTCCATCTGTTCATTTTTATCTTGATTAATGTAATGATTTGGGTTTTGATTTGGAACATGTCATCTTTAAAAAAACTGCTAAAAGCCAAGTGTGGCTAATTTGTCTAACAAGACTATATTGCAAGCTGTGTGTGCTGGTGTACACTTGCAACCCCAGCTTTAGAAAGGCAAAGGCAGGAGGAATTAAGGCCTTTCTGTATCATAAAGCAAGGTAAAGACCAGCATGGACCTGTCTCACACAACCAAAAAGAAAAAGGAAAAAACAAAAACAAAAACAAAACCAGAACACAATACTACACAATCGGAAACTGTAATGATGATGGATAGCTTTTGTTATAAAGTGTATTATTTCTCTCTATATTTCTAGGGAGCTGGGTGCAATGGCACATGCCTTCTTCTTTCTTTTTTCTTTCTTCTTCTTCCTCTGCGATTTACTTATCGTACCTCCTTAAGCACCATCCACCACTACTGTTTCTTCTTCTCCTCCTCCTCCTTCTCCTTCTTCTATATTTACTTATTATGTATACAGTACTCTGTCTGAATGTATGCCCACATGCCAGAAGGGAGCAGCAAATAGCATTATAGATGGTTATGAGCCACCATGTTGTTGTGGGAATTGAACTCAGGACCTTTGGAAGAACAGTCAGTGCTCTTAACCTCTGAGCCATCTCTCCAGCCCCCAATTCAAATATTTCTATTTAAAACCAATCTCAAAATTTGGGTGAGATCCAGAGCACATCTAATTTTGACTTTAGTGAACATGGGAACAGTTTGCATAAAGCTTCCAAGAGGGGAGGGTATTCCATGTCTTTCCCATTCCCAGGCCCAGGGAACTCCCCTTGTCCCAGGACAGCCACTTTTGATACCCAGCTTCCCGCACCAATTCTATGTCCAGCTTTTTCCAGCCAGGAAATCATATCTCCTTCTCAGTTTCTGAGTCCACTTTTGTGAGCATCATTGGATCATTACTGACATCTCATCTCTAATCAAGCATGGGATAAGTCAGGTGTGAAAATCTGTTGTCAGCCCCCTCTCACAGTGTCATCATTTCTAGAATCCAATTATTTCCTGATTAACTATATTACTAGTTTAAATCCCTAAGGAACAGTCTTGACAACAGGGTTGAGGGGTTTATTTTGAATTTTGTTTCCTGTGAAGTTTTTGACCAAATAGCCATGAAAATGAGATGTTCCTCGTCAGTCAGAAGTAGAGCTGCAGCTCAGTAGCAGATGAAGTGATAACTGTGCAGCTTCTATATCACTTAAAGGCTCCCATGGAGAGGAAAGTGCTGTGTGAAAGCAGAAATGACATTTTTGCAGATTTTTTTTGGGTAAAATCTACATAGTTCATAGGATATAGCTTTTCTAAGTTTTTTTGTGTGCTCATCTGCCATGCAGATTCAAACCTAACTTTCCCTGTACTTAAACTCATACAATTTTAACTTTTTATAATAGCAATGCTACCACCTTCAAATGACATGAAATGTGTTGCAGGATATTTGATCCCATTGTGAACCTCAAAACTGTGAACTGTAAAACCTTGTTTATTTGGTGTTGTTAAGCTCTATCACATACCTTTAATCCAAGAACTTTCTTTTTATTGTAAACTGGTGGTTATGGTGTGGTTCACCCAGCCCTAGCACACACCTCTAATCCAAGAGTTTTCTGTATACAGGATTTAATAAAGTTAACCCTAGGTCAGGAGGTGGAGAAATCAGCTGAGTAGGAGGGACTTTGAGTTGAGGGGTATTTAAGACAGTGTGGAGAAGAAGAAAGAGCTTTTTTAGCTTAAACTCTGGCCTTAGCTTTGGTTTCAGCTCCTCAACTCCCTGGCTTTTTTTTTTTTTTTGAGCTAGTAAGCCTTTGGCCTTGGGTTTTTTGGCCTTCTCCTCTTGGGTTGTCAGTTGAGTGAGCTAGTGAGTCTTTTAGGTTTTTTCATCTAGACCTGAGTTGAGTAGGATTAATATTATCTGAATAAACAGGAAGTGCAGAGCAAGCAGCTTCTAAAACTATAGAAATGACAGAGACTGCTGGCTGCCTGGACAGTCACCCAAGAGATCTCTCTAACATTGCAGCATCAGAAATGTATGAAATTTGAAACTTTTGGCAGCCAAATACAATTATTTTCAAATTATTTCAGGAGGATTACTGAATGTTACATAGCCTTTCTCTACACAACTGAAAGCAGAAGTGTGCCAAGAATCGGCCATTAAAAGCCAGATTCCACCAGCTCTCACGATATGGCAGTGGACGATGGCTTAGTGATGAGTGGCTATGTTTCTGAGAGCTGTGCTGCTGCTGAGGCCTGCTGAGTACAGGAGGACTCAGGCCCTCTGGAAGCTGGGCTGCAGACCCCAGAGAACACGCGGCACACTCTGGTTATAAGCTCACTCGGGAAATGCACTATCAAGTTATTTGAAGACTGCTACCTCCCAGAGGATTCACTCACCAGAAGCTCATACAAAGAAGAAGGAAGCTTAGTCACTTTTACCAAAAAACAAAACAAAACAAAACAAAACTTCAAAAGAATTAAAAGCAGGTACTCAGGGAAGTGCATGTGCATGGGTGCGTGGCCACAGGCTCGTCAGAAAGGTGGAAACAGTCCTAGGTTCGATCGGCACACTCATGGATGGATAGGTAAGTGGTGGCATATCATACAATAGGGCAATATTTGGCCCTTAAAAGAATGTAATACTGATACATGCTACGAAATGGAAGAACCTCAAAAATAGTGAGAGTAGCCAGAAGCAAAAGTCATATATTACACACATGTAAAATATGCAGAATAGATAGCTTCATAGAAACAACATGTAGATTGGTGGTTACAGGGTCCCAGGTGGAGGAGGAATTGGGAAGAAATTGCTTGAATGGACAAGAGGTGTTCCTTTGCTATGATGGTGTCCTGTAGCTGAAAAACCCTGCAAATCACCAAGTATTACTGAACTTCAATATTTCTTTAGACAGGGCCTCACTATGTAGCTCAAGCTGGCCTTGAACTCATAATTACCCTTCAGCATCATGAGTAGCTGGTACCACAGGTATGCACCTCTATCCCTAGTGAAGTGTTCATTGTATAATGGCAAAAGAGAACAGAAACAAGATGCTGGAACCAGCCCTTGCAGTGGGGCCTCCCGCATGCCATATGGCTTACCTTGCAGACTATGGATGCCTTTGCTCCAAGCCGGGCAGCTTGGACACACTGGTTGGCACCTTTTCCTCCAAAGCCAATGAAAAACTTATGTCCATGGATGGTTTCTCCAGTTTTGGGCAAGCGAGAAGTAAGACTATTATAATTGAGAAAGAAGAAAACAAAGCATGTTGGTAACTGCAATCCAGGAAAGGTTATCTACCAGAGCTCTGATGATGAGGCCACTGAGCAGCCTGAGTTCTGGGAAACAGGTGATGGAGTGTGCTGTGAACACTGAGGCCAGGTGGGGCGGGGAGGGGAAAGAAACTGGGAGCTGCCAGGAAGACTGCCTTTCCTTACAGTTTGCATCATAATATAACCTATGTCCTCCAGAGGATTCCTCTCTTCTCCACAGCCACCAATGTAGCTACACTGCAAATGTCAGCTGGCATCTGGGTTGGGCTTATTCAGGGGCTAGTGCCCACCCACACCAGAGCTTATTCACAGTGGGACTCAGCAGGCCACAGGAAGTTTATGGGATTGTCTGGCACTTTGGTAAGAAGAACAGGAGGTGTGGCATGATTCTAGTGAGTGTCAAGATGGGACCTAAGGGGTAGAGGAAGCAGCAATTTCTGCAACTAAAACCATCCTATTTGTTTACTTGAGGGTGGGGTGGGAGCAGATTTTGGCTCTCCATCCTGTCTACCGTATCAGTTCGTGCACCGTGTCAAAAGGAATATATATTTAAAACAATGGAGCCTTAAGTAGTAGATTTAGGCTGTAACTTTTATTAGGAAACATATCAATCATATAAAAGTAGACCTCCCTTATGCTAGTCACTTATCACTCAGATTCAGTTCTTATCAGCTCCTAATTGGCCTTGTTTCCACTGACATCTCAAGAAGCTAAGCACAACTTCACCATAGCCAAGAAGCTAAGCATAATCTTCACAGTAACCAAGAACCTAAGCACCAGTCTTCACCATAATGTTATGGCCAATGATGACAGTATTACCAGGGGCAAACATTACATGCGATTTGTTCCAGGTAAAGATTTTCATGACTTCAAAGACAAGGTTTGAAGAAAAACATTTTTGAAGGATGGAAAGAAAGGACTGGCTTCAAAATGGTAAGGAGTTTCAAACATAGGGACCAGCAAAAGGAGACTGGCTTCCTGGCCACAAAAAAGGGGCCCAAGGATGGTGGGTGGGGCCAAAGTGAATCAACTCTATATAGGAAAGAGAGGCCAACAGTTAAATTCACAGTGGAAACCGGCTGAGATCCTATGCTGTTTTAAGAGATTATAGGTATGTATTCATTAATGGGCCATGATATATCTGAAATGAGTACCATATTATATTAGAATAGAGTAACAGAACAATGGTGATTCTTCCAGGCCATTAGGAGCTTGCTTTCAGTGGGATGACATGAACTAACGCCAGAATGCAGTTATTTCAAGAAAGACCAGGATCAGCCTGTGAGCCTCTCTCTGTGCTTCTAAAACCGTCAATAAATCAGACGACACTATTCCACTTCCCAGCACTGCACTGTCAAATATGGTTGAAATTCAAAAGAGACTCATCAATAATTTGAAAACATCCCACTCCTCCTCTTTTCAATGCTATTTTTATCGAGGATTCTACATGCATTTATAGTACTGATGAAAAAAATATACATCTAAAAGGTTCACTTCTGAAAAAGGTACTCAATCAAGAGAAAAATGGTTTTAATGTAATGTTATTATCCTGTCATTTAATTTAGCAATGACAGTGATGATGGGATTTTGATTTGCATCAGAAATCTTAAACATTTTAGGGTTCTGTTATGAGCAGCAGCGGTGAGTAATCCGTGTGACGGGGTAATGATGGGAATTCTTGGCTTACTGACTGCTCCCAACGACTCTCGTAAAGCCTTAAAAAGAAAAATATCTAACATGGCTAAAACTGGTAAAATAAGTTCATTAGCAACACTGTGACATAGAGAAACTTTGGACTTCTACTGTATTTATACTTAGGTCCAGGTCACAAGTCACTGCTTTAAATCTAGTGTCCTTTTTTTTTTTTTTTTTTTTTTTTACTATGAGCTGTGGGAAATCATGAGAACTATACTGCCAGGTTATTATGGGATGTGTATACACAGAGCGGAGCAGTGAAACTACGGCAGTATGTATGTGCACTTGATGTGGGAACAGATATGGCTAGGATTTAGAGTCGTTTCTTAAAATCACCTATGTCTATGCACCACGTGCATTCAGTGCCTGTGAAGGCCAGAAGAGGGCATCAGCTCTCCCAGGACTGGAGTTACAGATAGTTGTGAGCTGTCATGTGGGTGCTGGGAATTGAACCCCAGTCCTCTGAAGGTAACAGTTGAGCCATCACTACAGCCTCTTAGAGTCATTTTAAAGAAACTATTAACACAAGCTGGCAGATATTAGCAAGTGTGGAATTAATTCAGCAATCACTAAAACTTTTATGTCTGGTGTTTTACTATTTTCTTCTTCTTCTCTCTCCATCTTCCCTCTGCCCTCACTGCTTTCTTTCTCCAGCTGTTTCATTTCCCTGCATGGGGACAGAGGGCAAGTCTGCTGTGTTCTCCACTCTACCCAAAGTCTCTGCCACTCAACAGATGGTTAAGAGATTCTTGTTTCGTTTCTTTTTTATGTCTCCTCTGGATAGGATCCACTTTTTTCTTCTGAATTGAGGACGTGAAGGTGCTGACCATGGATGGATGAGGAATCTAGCAGCCATGGCTATACAACTGTGTGACAGTAACAACTCCATGTTTTGCCATATCTTACCTACTACACTCCAAATTTTTGCAGGATTCTTTTCTTTCTCTTTCCCCATTCCTTCCCACCTTTTTGAGATAGCCTCACTTAGCCCAGGCTGACCTGGAACTCACTTTGTGACTGGGGCTAGCCTTGAACTCCTGAGCTTCCTGTCTCTATCTCCCAAGTGCTAGAATGACAGACACATGTATGCCTCTGTACCTGGCTTAGGATTTTAATTTTCTCTCTCTCTTTAAAAAGATTTATTTTCACTTTAAAAATTTATGTGTGTATATGTTAGCACCCTCGAAGGCCAGAAGAGGGTGTCAGATTCTTCAGAGCTGGGGTTCCAGGTGGGTGTGAGCTGCCAGATATGGGTGCAGGGACAGACTTGGCCCCTCTGAAAGGGCAGCAAGAATTCTTAGCCCCTGAGCCATCTCTTCAATCCCCATAATTCTTCTCTAAGCAAGAGTAGTAACTCTAGAACACACCATTACTTATTCATCCAGGCAATAATTCAGAAGGTGTTGATTCAGTGTTTTCTGATGTACTTCCTTTAGCACAGTATCATCTTGCTGACAAGGATGTAATTGAAGGGTGATACAAGTGATAGATGAGTGAAATTCATGTAACAGATGAAGGATCAAATGATCTCATTCATATCTTTTACAGAGGCTAGAGATGTCACTCAGTGGTAGAGCCCTTGCCTAGTATATGTGTGTCCCCAACTTCAATCCCTAGCACTTAAAATAAAGCTCACCAAGTGAGTGTACAGGTGTGCATTGCATAATGGCAAAAATACATTCTGGAAATTGAGTCTTTTTTTGTATTTCAAATAGCATATACAAGATGGCTATGTCATTAGGAACATCTTATGAGGCTGTTATCTCACACACAGTCATGGTTGATAGCGACAGCATCATGCAATATGTGATTGTTAAGGTTGCATACAAGAGGGCAACATACACAAAATGAGCTTATGCCAGGCACCCATAGAAATGGGTGGGGAACAAAAATTTCATGTTCTACTGGTTTCTGTTTCTAGTACAAGGCCTCACATGTGCTAGGCAAATGTTCTGCCAGATTCATAGGCAGTTTGAGTTCATTCTATAATTCAGATAGTCCTTGAATTTTCCTGGTTTTGCTGCTCAAGTAGCTGGGGCCATCGGCCTGTACCATTGGACCTGGCCTTCATGTTTGATATTGGATACTTATGGACATAAGCATATACGGTAAGAATCTATTACTGTATTATGGCATGTCACTTGTCACTATTTCAGATTCATTTGTCCTTCTGCCTTATTTTCTAGCTACCTGCTCTTTGTGGGCAGCAACTAGCTTCTTGCAGACACAGACTAGTGGAGCCTTGTCTAGAGCTGCATTATTTCCTCTTGAGAGCGTCTCCTTTCTTTGCTATGACCCATCAGGACAGCCCACGAGGTTAAAGGACTACTTGCAGGAGTCAGTTTCCTTTCCAACATGTGGGTCCTGAGGATTGAATTCATGAAGTCAGCACTGGCAGCAAGCATCTCACACCAGCATTATGTCTGTATGTGCTCTTTCATCCATGCTCTGACTCCCTTGCTCCTGCCCTGGATGGGGAACCTGCAGGTGCTCAGGCAGGAAAACAAACCACATGGCAAGAGCTGAGAATGAAAACTCGGTTCAGACTGACCTCATCAACCTGGATCAGACTTGGAAAGTCTGATGCCAGGTGGTCCATTGCCAGCATATTTAAAACACAGCACAATCTGGGAAAAGGTTTCCAGGCAACCATCACTGTAACCTGGGTATACAGTAAAGCTTAGTGTGTCTTAGCGCAGTGGTTCTCAACCTTCCTAATGCTGTGACCCTTTAATATAGTTCCTCATGTTGTGCTGACCCCAAACCATAAAATTATTTTCTTACTACTCCATAACTGTACTTTTGCCAGTTATGAATAGTAATGTAATTATCTGATCTTTCTGATAGTTTTAGGTGATTCCTGTGAAAGGGTTAGTTAACCCCCAAAGGGTTCATGACCCATAGGTTGATAAATGCTGACTTAGAAACTGCTTTACAAAGCACATGTGACTGTGAGGGTGGGTTCTATAGCTGACAGACCTAGAGTCTAATGTGGTCTCTGACTGAGATGGCACAAAAGTCAGCAGGTCACAAAGTACTTGTGACAGCCTCCCCCTACAATGATGGGCTCTATTAATTGGGAGCTATAGATAACAGTCTAAGGAGGGAAGAGACTGGGGTAGATGTTTTGGGGGAGTTCTGCCTCCACAGATAGCAAAAGGGTCACCAATTGTTAGCAAAATCCAATCCCTGCCTTCTGGGTGGGAAACATGTGTCTTCTCCTTTGAGATGAGGCCTCCTATGTGTTTACCATTCCTGCTTCCCTAGTGCTCTGTGGGCACAAGGACCTTTGTGCCCCAACACTCCACTATAGTACTGAATAGAGCATGTGTTCTTAAGCCTTTGTGCTCTGCTACTGTTTAATCCAGGATAAGATAGTTTACTGTGCACCTGAGTGTTTCTTAAAAAATAAG